TGTCCGACGTGGGGGAGAGTTATTCCCCTTTTTATAGAGATGACTCCACGGCTATGGGAGAAAGATCTAAAAGGAGACATTTCCTATTAGGAAAGGGGATTTTTATGTTATTTATTATGGAAGAACCATTGAGATTTCACCACGTGTCTAGTGAGATCCTTCAAAGACATGGTTTCCTTTCTCTTAAAGATTCTCACGTGGCACGTGTACCCTACGTCCCCTTACGGGTTTCCTAGTAGTCACGTGTTAAAGGACAAGATCTAACTGACGATGTTATCACAAGTCTCAAGTGATGCCCATTGTTCACCGTGGGTCACAAGAGATGTTTTATGTTCATCGCAAGTCTTGGATGGCCTTCTGTGCTTATCATAAATCCCAGGTAGCTTTTAAGCTCATCGCAATTTCTGCAATGGATATTAAGCTCATCACAAGTTTGCGATGGTTGTTAAGCTCATTGCAAGTTTGCGATGGTTATTAAGCTCAACACAAGTCTGTGATGGTTATTAAGCCCATCAAGGGTTCTAGGAGATTCCACGTGTTGTTAGATTTGTGCTCATAATTTTATCTTGATATCTACAATGTAATCGGGGTGATAAAAAACTACATATACTTATAATTAGCTCCCCTATTTATTGATAAGAGTATTCTTGTCAATAAGCATCCTTTGTGGTTTGTTTTGCTTGTCTGGTGTCGTGTAATTGTGATTAGATGATTGATAATGAGGGAGCTAATTGATTTGTTATAGATTGTAGCTTAATGGGTGTCACGAAAGGAAAGAAACCTAGTGATTTTATACTTTGTTGGAATGAAAGGCATGGTTAGGCCTGCTTATTGGAAGGTATAGCTCAATATTTTCTCTACTTTAACCCCCCTGTTTCTTGATGGAAGGCCTTCTGTCAAGAAACATGTCTGCTATGACATGTCATTTTAAGTTTACAATGCCTTGTTTTTTGATAGAAGTCATTGTATCAAGAAACAAGTAAAATAAATAGCTGGTTACTTTAATGTTCACCCCCTCCCCTGTATCTTGATAGAATGTCTTCTATCAAAAAAGTACTTAAGTGTGGTTTTCTAGGTGTGCTATCTTTGTCGTTCCCCTGTATGAGTGGGGGAGTGTTGCATGGGTGCTTAGCTAGCAGAGTACCCAGCTCCCCTACGTTTTGATAAGAGTTTTCTTGTCGATAAGCATAAGTTATCTTTTCTTCTTAGTGCGCTTTGAGTTGCGATGGATGAATTTGGTGATTCTATGATTTTTTTTTCTCTTAGTGCTAAAATCGATTTTTCCACGACTTCTTGCTCTTGGTGCTTAGTGGATGGATCTAGTGGTCTTGAAACTTCTACTCTTAGGGTGCATTTGGTTCGCGGACAAGACCAGAATCAGAATCCACAGGAATCGGAATCGGAATCACCTATTCTTAGCATCTGTTTGGTTCAGTTAGGAATCGGATTCGGCTTCCAATTGTTGTTGCTTGGTTCAACTAGAAGCTAGAATTGGAATCGGCCAAAGTTTCCAATTCTTCCCTTGTTAAAAGAACTTCAAAAACATCCACTAATTATATATTTTCAACAAATACACACATTGGCAACCTGCTACCAAGTGCATATATAGAGAAAATATGAAAAAAAAAAGAAAAGAAAAACACATAACAAACAAAAATCACAAAAAACAATCATTCTCCACTATAAAAAAATGTACAACAATTTCTCACAAAACTCATCTACAAAAAGTTGACCCTTCAAAATCTGTAGAAAAAAGCAGCGAAGGCAACATTGACGATGCAGGGGGATGAGATGATGAACACAATGTCAAATTATTAGAGGCAAGATCCTTGTTTTTAAGTATAAACAACTCTAGTTGATTCCATAGCCAGAGAAGGGGTACGACCATTCACATTAGGATTCATGATGCTGAAAATCTGTCCTTCCATGGATTTAAACCCGTGACAAACTGAACATTGGGTCATTGGCTCCAGTCTATTGGTTATTAACATTTTTGTCCTTCACCACCTGTATCAGTTGCGCAGCTAAATGGGCCTAGACTAAAGGTTGCAATCTACTTAATAATATAATGTTAACTCCTGCATCAAGTTAGTACTTAATGTTAACTCCTGGAACAAGCCCACTTGTCAAAGCCACCCCGCCAATCTGAAGCAAAAATGTAGTACTTAAAATACAATTCGGTAGCACAGTATTGAATTGTTTATCCTACATCTCCAATACTCACCAATTATATGCTACAGAAGAGCTTCCTCTGAAGATCTATACGCCCTGCCAATTTAGAAAGAAACAGTGTTAATGATTATGTCAAGGCACACCATCTCCCAGTAGAATACACACATACACACACACAGAAACCTACCTGTTGAAAGAATGCTAAACTAGTTATTGCCTCTACAAGACCGAGATTGTCTTCCTTCTTCAGTATGGTTGGGAAAACCGGGTAGTTATCCCACATGGGCATTCCACCATTAACCCCAAGATATAAACCCTTTGACATGTTCGATCTTCTAGCGAAATCAATATGCCATGTATCTTCCAACATATCCTCGTAGTCATGAAACCTGGTGGTAAAGTAAAATAGTTATAAACATATATAACTGATCACCAAGAACGAGGTGGTGGTGGGTACTCATCTTGAACCAAAAGCAGAGGGTAGAATAGACCCATAGGGGGGAACCTGTTTTTAAAACCATTAGAAATCAATTGAATCCTAATGCAATCCATTCTATTCTATATAAGTCATATCACAAAGGGAAGAATTGGGTTGACGTTTGCCATTATCATCCTTCTGATAATAAGAGGCCAAATAGCCATGCCTATTTTTTGTAAGCATCAAGTATCGGAACATACCAGCAAGCAGGAAAACAAAGCTAAAACCAACAAGTGATTAATAGAAAATTTTGAAGAGAAGAGAGATCAACATGGCACTCATTTTTTATTTTCCAGAAAAAAAAAAACAAAAGCATGGTATTCATATTTTTTTATCAGTTCATCACATGGCATTCATTAATCTAAGAAAGTATATGACAATTCCCAAGAGATAAGATGGTAACTTTTGGAACGAGTTCAGAATAAGTTTACTGAGCTAATTAAGGAGTTTTCAATTACAGGGGTTTTCATCAAGAAAATTTATATATATTTTTTTTTAAGATATTGAAACTCCTAGATTGTTTCTGCTTATTTATTTATTTATCTATCACTTATGATAATGACAATAACAACAACTATGCAATTTTTATGATACACATTGAAATATGCACCTTGAGCTGCAAAATAAAAACATAGAAGACAGTTGGAGCATAACCTTGACATAACATAAGAACATAGAAGACACAATGCACCATTTACCAATCATGGTTCTCATTAGTAGTCTTTCATTTTGCTTCCTGAACTGCGAGTGTGATTTCATCCCAAAACTAAATGCACATGAAGGTAGCACCATATCCTCAAACGAAATCAGGGTCTAGTAATATGCAAAGCAACATACACATGAGGTGCCCTTAGTTTAGAGGAAACTTGAATGATTTGGGGAATTGATCTATTGGTTGAATTACTACAAAAAAAAAAAAAAAAAAACAACAACAAGTGATTCCATGTCCAGATCAGGTTCATCCTGTTAAGAGAACAATTCCAAGTCAGCAAAGATGTTGAAATTAAGTAAAACCATTGAGTAATCTTGAAATTAAGGTAAATAAGGTTCCATATGTCAGCAAAAGGAAAATTAAAAAAAAAAAAAAAAGCTTAAGTCATTCATGTCTATTTTGTCCTAACATTATGCTTGGCCTCAACTTTGCTAAATTGTGAGTTGTGACATTGATGTAACATAGATATCAAGCAATGCCTGATCTTCTTTGTAAAGAGTGTGTAAGGGGTTTATCTTCAATCACATCCATCCATTAGGGCAAAGGACTTAAGGCTGTGTTTGGAAACAATGCAAATAAGTGTGAATGTAAATATGTAGAGTATAAAACGGTATATATAAATTGTAAAATTGGGTCAGTTTTGCACTGGTAAATTTATCTTCTTACCAAACAGGCTTTTAGCTGTAATGGATGTAAACATGAATTCCAATAAAGCATATGCTTTTTTTTTTTTTTTTTTTTTTTTTATCAAAAGCCCACTTGAATACAAATTTACTTCTTTTTTATTGATGTACTTTTACATCTTATGTAAATATGCATTTGTCTGTCATTTGCCAATGCATAAATACAATGTTGCCAACACAGGCAAAAGTGAAACAGAGTACAAATTTACCTTGAACTGTGATTTACACTCCTTTTGCATCGTTTCCAAACACAGCCTAAGGTGCTCATAGACCTCTTGCCAATTTTCTATATACTTCATAATAATTATCATGAAGGCAGATTGACTTATTTGTTGGTCTTGATGCAATAAAGAAGTAAGGCTCAATTTAGAAAGAATACAAATACAAATGCATAACAATAATGCAAAATAGAAGCACTCTGCATTTTTATATTTGTACTTCCAAACTGAGCCCAAGTGTTCCATGTATAAGAAACTTCTAAAAAGGCCTTTCTTCAGAATAAACCCCTTAGCCACAATTATATGCATGAGACATGTACATAGATACCTTCAAATCCCTTTACTTTCGGTTCCAAAAACTATCTACAATTAATGCTTCAACGTATCTAACATTTCCATGTTGAGGCCATCACCTACATTTTTCATAAATATATCATTGGATCTTCACTACTGATCCCTAGAATTTTTCCCAATAACTTGTAAAAATCTTTTACTTTTATTTACTGCTTTAAGAAATGCCAAAAGTTGCTTATTTTTCTTTCGTACGTCCATATGAACATACATGCAAAAATTATAAGTAGAAATCTTAATCTCTTCTGAAAATACATGATATAAACACATGAACACGAACTCATACATGCATATCACAAGTTGCCTTCCGGCAGATCAGGCAATGTAACGGTTGTTTTATTGAGAGAGAGAGAATTATTTTGTAAGGCACATGATAGATAGGTCCTTTAAGGGTATTGGCCACCGCCATAGCCGGACCCATAACCAGAACCGTATCCAGAATCACTCCCATAGCTGGAACCATTTCCAGAACCACTACCCCCACCTCCTCTACCTCCTTGACCACTGTTGGATTTTAATCTCATAAGAGATTAAAATTTAATGGGTTTGATTGGTCAATTACATGAGAAATTGTACCTGCACACTTGATTGAAAAATTAGCTTTTCTCTTATAAAACCCAGTTTTGAACTTGTCCCATATTAGAAAATTATAAACTTTGTTTTTAGTATTTTAATATGATTGATTTACACTCATTAGAAATAGTAGAGGAGAGTATGGGGGTTTGATACCGCGCAACGCATGCATACGCGTGTGTGCAGCGCAATGAGGTGCACTTTGCTCTCACCTGCGTGGCTCGCAAAGGGCGTCTTTGGTTTTGGTGCGATGCTGACCGTTGGTCAACGTTGATGAGATCAACGGTCACAATTCGATTGGGTGTGATCAAGATGCACAATTCAAAGTTAACAGTGGGAATGGATTTGATTATAACCCAACAGCAAACTTGATAAAACTGACCCCATTTTCCAACAACCACTGCCATAACCTCCACCATTTCCAGATCCACGTCCACCACCTCCAGCCCCACCGCCGCCACCACCGCTTCCATATCCATCGCCTACAACACTTACTCCTGATCCATAGCCTGAGCCGCTTCCACTTCCGGATCCATAGCCAGAACCACTACCAGATCCTGATCCATATCCAGAGCCACCACCACCACCCCTACCACCACTTCCATATCCTTCCCCTTATGCCCCACCATAGCCAGAACCACTCCCTGAACCATAACCCGAACCATAGCCAGAGCCACTGCCCGAGCCTCCTCCCCCTCCCCCTCCCCCTCCACTTCCACTACCATAAGCTCTGGACCTAGCAGCAGACGAAAGCTCAAGGCAGAGCAGAACCAAGAATGCAACAGCCACCACTCTTGATCTAGCCATCTTGTATGTAAGATGGAAATGGTATCACTAAGTGAACCACTTCAAACTCAAACAATTAATTAAACTGAGAAAGCTGAGTATGGTGCCTGGCCATTGTACCGAGTAGGTATTTATAGACAGCATTTGAGAGCAGATCAAGATGGCGAAGGACTCATGATATAGTGGAGTGCCCCAGATGGTGTCCCATTGTTTAAGACTTCGCCTACGTGCTACCAGACAAATTTCTATCCCTTTCTATTGATTTGTTTATCACTACGAGGTCAACACAACCCCACAAGAATAATAAAAACCAGTGATCCATGAAAGAAGAAAACGACGACGAGATTAGGTGATGCTGATTTTTTAGTGCGAGGTTGCCCCCACAAGATTCGCCACTTCCATTGTTGCATATATAATTGCGTTCCCACCTCTCATGAGTCTCACCAACCACCCCACCATCTTAAAGCTTGTTAACAGATGGCTTGGCCGTGTTGAAAAGGAAAGCTTCTGATATTATTATGTCTCATGGGATTGGATGACAGTTCTTGTTAGTGGTTACTGGTTATTATCTTATCTCAATTAAGTTTCATGGCCGCAACTTCAGACCTAGAACCCAATTCAGCCAGGTCTGAACCTCATGGGATTGGATGATAGTTCTTGTTAGTGGTTACTGGTTATTATCTTATCTCAAGTTTCATGGCCGCAACTTCAGACCTAGCGAGAACCCAATTCAGCCAGGTCTGAACCGGTCCCATGATCCTTAATTAGACACCTCTATTCTTCAATCTAGTCCAGCTAAAGCCCTCTCTACCCTAGCAAACAATAGCCTGTCAGTGAAATAAATCTAACAATGCAATAATTACCCTCCTTTGGATAGGGATCTGCTACCAACCCTGTCCGAACAGGCCACTGCAGTCTCACATTGGGAACATCACCCTTCTCATTCATGGGAAGGTGTTCCCTATGTACGGCTGCAATGTCCGGTTGGGACATTGTTGGCACTGTGTGTTGGTAGCTGATCCGAACTCCCCTCTTTTGCCTAATTATCTTTTTTTTTTGGGTAAAATACAAAAACCTCCCCTATGGTTTATGACAATCATAGAACCTCCCCTCAAGTTTTACTTTAGGGAAAATTCTTGATCAATATCTCGTACTTTAGCTCGAGTGACCTTGAACTTTAAAATGCGATAATTTAGTATCCGAACATTTAATATGTGATAATCCAGTACCCAAGATTTCAAAATGTGACAATCCAATACCTGCTGTTAACCAGTTCGTAATCAGCCATTAAGTGACATTTGAAAAGTCAAAAATGCTCTAAGAATGCCATCTAATTCTCTTTATCAACCATCCAAACATTGACAATAAAATGAACAGTCCCAAATTCTAGATTCTTTTAAACAACCACCAACTTTTTTGAATAGAAGAGGCTAGGATTTAGAACTATTATTCAATTTTTTGTCAACGTTTAGATGGTTGATAAAAAGAATTAGATGGCTTTCGAAGGGCATTTTTGACTTTTCAAATGTCACTTAACGGATGATTAACAGATTGGTTAATAATAGGTACTAGATTGCAACATTTTAAAAGTTCGGGTACTAGATTGTCACATTTTGAAAGTTCAAATACTGGATTGTCGCATTTTAAAGTTTGGGGACCAAATTGTCACTCAAGCCAAATTACAGGGTATTGATCGTAAATTTTCCCTTTACTTTAACAAATTAAAAACCTCATCTGAACTTTTAGAAAATCGTACACATACCTCCCTTATGTTAGTGAGCGAAAGCGTCATCCCCACAAATTAAAGATTTGAAGTATGTAGACTATAGGCAATAGCACCAATAGGCAAAAGCACTTGCAATGCAAGTTTCTCATGTTGGCAATCTGAAAAGTATGTAGACCATTCCTCCTGTGTGGCGGTGTCCCTCTTTCTTTCAACCTTCTTCCTTCTCTAATTTTTTAGAGATGTGTTGAGGCCAGCCTCACCAAGCTCCAAGGCAAAGACTTTGAAAACTACATACAGATCAATTCCATAATCCTTGGCTGGAACAACAAGAAATCAACTATCGACGTCGACCTCGCTAGCCTTGGTGGAGGCATGAACATCTCCTGCATCTTCAATGATTTCCAATTGATGAGGGCGGATTTGGCCCTCCAATGATATTGTGACACATGGCACCTCAGAACAACTAGGTGACACCAAGAACCACTTTGGCAACAACTTGCTTTAGCCAAGTTGATGGTGTCCCACCTGGCTGCCCAAGCGCGGCCTTGCGACCTGGCCCTGGCGCGAGCTGGCAGCCCAGCACAGGCACGACCTGGCAGCCTGGCACAGGCACCGAGCTAGAAGCCTAGCACAGGCACGACCTGGCGGCCTGGCCCAGGCACGACCTGGCAGCCTGGCGCAGGCGTGACCTGGCCCAGGCACGACCTGGCAGCCTGGCACAGGCATGACTTGGCGGCCTGGCCCAGGCGTGACCTGGCGACTTGTAAGACGTGCTCGCCGACAAATTCGGCATGCATATCCTAACACTCCCACGATCCTTGGAAGTTGGCCCACGTGCCGAACGATCTGGAGAGTGGTCAACGTGCATGGTGGTTACCTCCAGGAATCTTGAACCACTTATAGGACCTCGTAGAAATCTCGGATATGGTGCGTAAAGCCCACGCCAAACAATGCCTATATAAAGGCACCAACCCCAGAGGCAAGGAGGCAAGCAAGTAAGAAAATTTTAGCTCTCATACTATGTGATTTTTAGCTCACAGTCTACTATGAGAGTACTGACTTAAGCATCGGAGCGACCTCGCCGGGTTAGCCACCTCGGGTCCTCTGACATTTGTTTTCTTGTAGGTCTCTAAAGACGAACGAAGCTCATCAATCCAGCTCGCCAGTTGGGCAGCTCGGCACCTAGACAGCTCGACACTTGGTCAACTCGGCACCTCACAACCAGCCCTGCACTTGGTCAGCCCGACGTCTCACAGGCAGCTCGCCACCTGGTAAGCCCAACACCTCATAGAGAGCTCGGCACCTCACAGGCAGCCCTGCACCTGGTCAGCTCGGCACCTCACAGGCAGCCCTGCACTTGGTCAGCCTGGTGCCTTACAAGCAGCTCACCACCTAATCAGCTCGGCACCTAGGCAGCTCCACTTCGGCCTCTGAGTCATCGGCCACTTGGAAGCAGACCAAATGACGAGGTACTTAGCCAAAAAATCGATACATCAACAAAAATTGATTCATCAATTGGCGTCGTCTGTGGGAAACGCTACAAAAAGCTAAGTTCTCATCTTCCGAAAGGCTAAGTCCTCTTCTTCCAAAAAGCTAAGTTCTCACCTTTTAGAAACTAAAAGCTCTCACTTTCTAGTTTCCATTTTTTTTATGAACTCAAAGACTATGCAGGAAGTTGATGGCTAACAGACTAAGCAGCTTTACCAACTTTATTTCAACTCGGATAAAGCCTCATCAGTCCTCTTCGCGAGGTACCCTCTACAAAGATGAGCTCTTCGTGGCTTCCGCGGGAGTAGTCGGCCAACTGACTGCATGGACGCCCTTGCCAGTCGAGCCTTCCAAGACTCCCGTGCGAGCTGGTGACCTAAAGTCAATAGTGTTGCCCCCGTAGGTTGAGCTCGTAGTAGCTTCTTGTAGCAGTGGGTAACCGACGTCACTAACGCGGCTGATGCAGCAGCCCGACAGCCTGGCCCTAGTGCGACCTGGCGGCCTGGCCCAGGTGCGAACTGGCAAACTGATAAAAGACCTCAGCACTACGATAAGTCCCAGTCACCTCTTCGGCATGGGCATACAAGTCCCAATCGCCTCTTCGGCATGGGCAAGATCAAAGAGAGTGGACCACGAGTCGCTCCTAGAGCCTAAGGGCCAAAATACCGAACTAGCGAAGACTTCCTCACCACATAAGACCCAGTCGTCTCTTCGGCATGGGCAAAATCAAGGAGTGAACTGTGAGTCGCTCCTAGAGCCTAAGAAATTGAATCGACGCTTACGAGCTCATCGAATTATTCATTCCGGGCCAAAAGGAGAAATTTACTCCCTTCGCCGAGTTACTCTCAGCTCGGGAGTGGGGGGCAAATGATGAGGGCGGATTTGGCCCTCTAATGATATTGTGACACATGGCACCTCAGAACAACTAGGTGACACCCAAAACCACTTTGGCAACAACTTGCCTTAGCCAAGTTGATGGTGTCCCACCTAGCTGCCCAGGCGCGGCCTGGCCCTGGCACGGCCTGGCACAGGTGTGGTCTAGCCCTGGCGCGGCTT